TAACCTTTTTTTTTTAAAAAAAAAAAAGAAATGTTAATGTTTTTAAATTTGAAAGGCTTAATTTCAAGTTATATTTATCAAAAGTTATATATATGTTGCAAAGTTTTATTTATTTTTTATTAATTTCTAACCATAAAGAAAAAAGGAAAAAATAATAAAGAATCAAACAATCAAGATGCCTCAGATAAATTCTATTCCCTCATTCCCTTTTTGCAAATGTTGGTTCTCATTCTCAAGTGAATATGTGATACATTTTTCACACACACACACACACACACACTTTGCTTTATTATGAACTGATTATTTACACGTATCACTATAAAGGCCATTTAAATTAATATAAAAAAAATTCTGAAAACATATAAAAAAATATATTATACAATTACTCAAAAAGTCAACAAAACCAATTCCACAGTAAAATACAAAAATTGAGACCCCAAAACAATGGGATTATCCATTTTATGACAGATAAAAACCAATTATGAAGCAATGTTCTTTTTATGGTTGGATCACATATTAAATGAATTACAATTAAAGTCCTAAAGGACCTAAAACCTATAAGCACCGAATAAACTATTCAATTAATGAATTACAATTATCTAAGATTTAGTTAAACTAATTATAGATTCTATGGTCTATAGATTTAAAATTTTAAAATGTAATAATGAGGCCAATTTCATTAGACATGGTTGACTTTTGAAATTTAATCAAATAACTAACACACACACCTTCCCCTGGGTTAGGGAATTTCTCATAAGCAAAGTTGTCTCGAATTCTAGTAATTTACTCATTCAGATATTGATATGATCCGAGATAAATGGCTCCGGTTTTTCAAAGGGTCCTCTCCGATTTGAATCGTAGATTAGCTAGTTCGGTTCGGTCCAAGCACACGAGTTCGCCAGTACCTGCAAAAGCACCGGAATTGTTCCGGCGCAAAATCCTCCGACACTTAAGTCAATATCTCAGTGTAGAAGAATAATGAGTGTATTAAATGTGTATTACCTTCCCCTTATTGAATCAACCTTATACATAGTGTTTAACTGTACGGACTTTCTTTTGGGACATAAGTCTCCGAGCATATGTTGATCGGACGTAACTTAATCTACACTCGACCCATCGGCACGAATGGCCAATATTCGGTCATTTTTGCTCGGTCGATCCAAGAGCCAACGGTTGACCCTTGGACCGTTCGACCCGTGAGTTGGTAACCGACACTTGGGCCGCTCGACCCGAGGCTTTATAGCTTGGCCCAGTCGAGCCGAGGGTCGACGGTCGACCCTCAAGCCGGTCGGCCCGAGACTATGTTGATTTCGGTTTTTAAGGTTCCTTTGGCCCCGGTTTTATTTCGATTGACCGAGTCGATACTAATATCCCTATCATATATGAACTTATGTTTTAATTCAAAAGTCGCACTATTTATCATATCTACCAAAATTATTTACACATTCGACTACATTTTGTTAATATAGTAAATTATATATATGGTATTAAATCGAGTTCG